GCCGACCTAAGTGTTTTAACACTTTTTTCCAGTAAATTCATAGTGAATCACCGTATAGCTGCGCTTGGTCTTCATCCCATTGGGTTCACTCGCAACAACAAGAAACTTTGGCGGAAGTTTGGCTGCAATCCGTTTTTTCATAGTCTTCAGATGTTCCCCCAGCCACAGCCGCCCACAGAATACCCATACCGCCACCCATAACATTGTCAATGACAAAAGCAAATTAACCGAAGACTGAAAAAAAGGAACACCACTTGGACACCATAAATCAGCGTTTGATTTATGCCCGACAACGAGAAGAAAAACGACCGAACTCATGAATTTTCAGAGGAGGCTTTCGGCGAAATTCGTCCAAACACCTGTTAAGTCCGAGCGAAAAACATCTAAATCGCATTGTCTATATGGAATAACATGTGGATAAGCTGATGCTGAGATAATAAACTTGTCTTTGCCTTATAATGCCTGATCGCGTGGGCATTTTCTCAGCTCGGTCACGTAGATTTCGGCTTTTACACTGTGAAGCCGCAAATGTTGCACTTTATCAGCACTCCAGCTCCCGCAGAATCTAACAGTTTTTCGTCGAAAAATCCTCATCAATTCATCGCACTGGAAGTCCCCAAAAGCCGAATCATCTGCCGAGTCACATTCTCCGAGCCGCGCTTAATGAGTCAGTTGATTAATTTGCCGCAATCACCATATAAACTGAACAACTTTCAGTGATTTGAGAACCATCTGATTCTAATAATATTGGTCTTTCAGAATAGATCGAGAGTGCGGCCAAACACGTGTTCTCCTCGCACTCTTTGCTACGGGACATTTCGCTTCAATAGCCGAAAGCTGTATTTTTTCAGCCAATTGAAGACTTTTTAGTGCGGTTTATGCAAGTGTTAAAGGGTGATTTAAGTGCGCCTCCTCCACACCCCAGTGGCTGCGGTTTGATTATTAAAAGTTCATAGCACTTTCACAAGGTAGGCAGTTCTTCAAATGGGGGCTTTCTCTCAAGTTTTTACTTGGTTAATGAACATTTTCGTTTTTTTTTCAATTCACAATTCGCTGTTGTTGTTCTTTTAGGAGGATTTTTCGCGCCGATCAGCTCCGATTTGCTGTGGAGCATGTGGCGAGGTTCCATTTTCGTCTGGTGTTTCTTCCATGGTTTCTCCTATACTTGTTTGGCACTTTTTCCCCATAGAAAAGTGCATTGAAAACGCATTCGCTCCTGTTAGCGTTGTTGCGACTGATGGTATTTCTATTAGCGTCTGTTTTTTCTTCATTTGGTTTCCGTTATTTTCTGCTACCACTAAACTGGCACTTTAAGCAGGATTTTTCAATTTCAATGAATGGTATAAATCGGATTTTTCATTCAGTAACGCAGCTGGCTTCGGTTCTCTCACTCACACACATGGGGATCTACTAGACGGATAACATGCCCAGTGTGTGCTACGTTCGAAATTGACACACCCGCAGCTAAACATTTCGGGGTTTCGAGCGAGGTAAATTTTGAAAAAATTGATTTTGGAATATACAGGGTTGTTCACGCTATACGGCACGGACGTTTGCGGCTAGCCCGTTTGTTTTTTGCAAAGTATTATTTGAGGAATCCACAGACGCCTATCGGGTGCACATTTTAAAAATATTTTTGTAATGTACAGAGTGTCCCAAAAGCCCTAAGAGTATCAAAGTTGTGTTTTTCTAAATGAAATACCATATATATTATTGCATTTTTGGATCCTCTGAGCAAAATAAGTGTTTGTTTTACTAAGAGTTATAATGTCTAAATCTAAAGGTTTTTTAAATAATTCGAATTTTATCAAAATCTAATATTATTGTCAAATGTGTCAAATTGTCAAAACAGTGCTCTTGCACTGGTCATCAATCTGCAATAAAAGACGTGCGAAAATTCTGTCTTTTTAAGGACAAAAATTTTTGAGACAAAATCCCCAACAAACAGTTTGCAAAAAAATGCAGACGAAGAACCATCTCGAATACCAATTCGAGTTCGTCCACCAAAAGAGTTGATTCGAATTGACATAACAGTTAAAGCTGCCAATCGAATCGGCGAAAACACGAAAGGGGACGGCACTCTTGATTGAAATTTTTGAACTGTAAAATCCACAAGGCGTGTAAACTGGACACTCTTCGACTGTTTTTTTGCGCACTTGTAACCTCGCCGGGCGTGTCTTCTGCCAATTAAACCTCACGGGTGCCTTTTGACAGACTAATTGGTATAATAAAACGGTTAAAGGTCTAGGTGGTTTCAACTGTTGGGCAACCTTTGGTTTTTGCATAGTCAAGTCGCCTCCACTGGCAGGCGGATGGCCCAAGAATGCCTTCAGCCCGAAAAACCAACTAGTCTAATAAGCGCTCTTCTATTGTTTGCTCAGCGTTTGAAATTCGCCGCCCACTTTGTCAGAAGTGACTGATGCGATTGTTTCCAAATTTCCATTTTTTCGTCGAACGGGCGTTCTTTGGATACCTGTGGAATCGTTCAGCTGTCTTACATATCGGAAAGCCATTTAAATGCTAATTTTCGCAACAAAATGTGCCCGCTGATTTTTTTTTCGGGTTATTGTTATCGGATCGAGCTCGTTGTTCCAGCGGAAAGTGGGACCGCTTGCGGGTTTTTTTCAGCTTCAGTTTGGGCTGTTGCAGAAGTAAAAAGGCTGCACCTTCAATGACTTTAAGCGCTTTCACAGGAAGACCAATTGTTTTGCCAGTTTCTCTATCAATTTTCCGTTGTTTCAGATCAATCTCAATAACACTTGACGACACGACCGGAACTCAGCGCGCACCAATCACAGTGCAGCACTCACTTAGCTGACATGGAAGTGGTAGCTGCGCCTCCCCCTCCTACGGGAGGAGTGCCATTTCGGGATCGGGACGTGCGCGAATGGTCCCGAATCGACTCGATAACTGGCGCTTTGGAGCGGGCTCGTCTGGAGACTGACAGCTGGTCGGCCTCTACCAAAGATGCGTCTCACCGTTATGGAAAGGTACGAAAGTTCCAGAATAATTGGTTTGCGATTTTGAGGTTGAACCTGCAGGAAAACGAGTTTTTCTCGCACTCATTGTGCGACGTTTATGAGCAGCGTACAACAAACTGGAGCCTTCCGAACTAAATCCAGAAACTTTTATGCTTATTAACGCCTTGAACAAGGGCGGATCCAAGGGGGTGGTTTCTCGTCGGAAATTTGTCATACAAAGTTGATCTCAACATCACAAACGTGTTTTTCTCGCTAACTACAAAGTTGGTCTAAACATCACAATCGTGTTTTTCTCGCTAACTAAACGCGCTAAGTACCTTTTCAACTCAAAATCGTCGTTTTTGTTGGAATTTAGGAAGTTTTGTGCAAATTTAATTTTCAGCTGGTTTCTCTTCGGAAATTTAACTTTGTCTTACAAAGTTGGTATAAACATTACAATCGTGTTTTTCTCGCTGACTAAACGCGCTAAGTATCTTTTCAGCTCAAAATCGTGGTTTTTGTTGGAATTTAGGAAGTTTTGTTTAAATTTATTTTTCGGCTGGTTTCTCTTCGGAAATTTAACTTTGTCATACAAAGTTGGTCTAAACATCACAAACGTGTTTTTCTCGCTAACTAAACGCGCTAAGTATCTT